CTCCGGCTCCTCGCTCAACACGAGTGGCCGCGCCAGCACCTTGTCCCGCGGATCGCGCTCCTGCCTCCGCCGGCCCAGATCAAGATCAACACCAGCGCCTACACAACGAAGAAAGTCCGACAATTTTATTTAGCGTAAATTTACGTATATTTTAATAGAAGACCCACTTCAACAACAACGAAACGCTTCTCACGCGGCCACGGAGTTTGCTATCGCTGTTGCCAGATTGCGAAGCTGTGCGCATGGGTGCATAATAGGGGTGTCACGGTGGGCCTATTTTTATACTTATCTAAAACAGTGTTGCGGGGGAAACTGTGAGGTGGGTCTGAGGAATCATATTAATAATAATAGAATGACTTTCAACATTTTATGAAGAGCTGCGATCTTCACGGTCACGGCCAGTTCCATGGCGCTAGCAGACGCAGGAAGCATCGCTGCCTTGCACAAATGGCACCATTCGACGCGCAATGATCGTCTCTACGGGCTAATGTATTATAATATTTTTATAAGCAGTGGTCTAGGAGTTATTCCAGGAAACGTTGCCGACTAGTACTGAACAAGATTTTGAGTGAGCATCTTGAGGCATCGAGTTGGCGAGCATCCGGGGGCTGCCGGAGGATGGGCTTTCGACAGCAAGTGCATTAGATCAATGAGAGTGTACAGTCGGAAGGGAATTTTTCTGTCTTGGTCGTCTTAAGCACCTCACGAGCACCTTCGAGCAATCGCCTTTGGGAGGGCCGACATGGAAAAAGGATGACAATCGAGTCACCCGTCTCAAACCAACTCTATCCAGGACTCGCTCGTAACATATGTTGTGTGTTGCATGGTGTCCGCACCAGTTATGACCGCCTCGGCGACCGCAGCAGTAATTGGTACATGGAGATGAATGTCAGAGGGAAATATTGGCAATTAGCTAACACTATTCAAGTCCTCTGGCGAAGCACTTGCGACGTGACATCGACACCATGCGACCACGACTCGGCGAACAACTCCGCCAGCTCATGTACCTCGTACCGCGCGACATTGTCCTCCATCTGGAGGCCGTTGTAGCGAACTTGCCATGTGATAGCAACGTCTTCCGTGTGCGAGAAAACTTGGCCCATGACAAAGTCCGCAGACTGGGTTCATCGTCGTTGTCGAATTCGAACTCGCGATGGAGCGTCCAGCCGTAGCAGAGGGCCGGGTGCTCCACTAGTAGCGGGATGAGGTAGGCGACCTGTAAGAAGCCTCCAGATGCCGCGGAACGGGGACGACCGCTCGTCTGGCGGATAGCAATGTTGGTCATGGCAACCTCGAGGTCGAGATCACCACGCAACGCTTGCGCGGCGCCACAAAGGAAGCACAGCACTTTCGTATAGTAGTTCTTGAAGTCGCAGCAGTACTTTCTATGCACTCGCTTCATCTACGTGGAATCAATAAAAACGGACAGGAAATGACAAAATGACGAACCTGCTCAAGGGTCCATCCACAGCGAGCAACAGCGGGTTCGAGGACCTCGTCCGACTTGATGTCGACCTTGTGCAAGGACTCGAGTTCGATGATCCGTGACGCCGCCGAGGTTGCCAAACAGACTCTTCGTGTACCTACGTCACATCATAAATTGGTAGATTCGAGTGCGCGATCGCAGTGCCAAGTACTTCTTAACGCGCTTGGCCGTGACAGCGATTTGGTTGATGTTGCGGTTCTGGAGACAAAACGTAGATGCATTCATGACGTAGCCCGTGACAACGCCAGGCCGGTTCTTGTCGTAGAGAGCAGCGTAGTTGCCCTGGACCGCCACAATAGCGGCCGCGGTGGCAAACGTTTCACCGAGCAAGTTGCCAGAGCACACGTTACCCATGCTGGCCACCGTGGGAACAGCCCCGTCGCTAACGGCCACATCGCGAGCGTTTGTCGGTGGGGCGACACGGCTACGACGAAGCGGCATCGCGACAATCTCTGCAAAAAATGAAGTCTAGATAATAATACAAGGAAAATACGCACTGTAAAAGAGTCGTTGAGAACTACTAGTACAGCGGTAGCAGCATTCGTGGCGACCGTGACCTTGATACTGCAGTGGTGCGACGTGATCGGGTTCTGGTTGGGCACCACGCCGGCGCTACCGCTTGCCGTAACAAACCACCGCTCCCATCGGAATCGCCGCACAGATGCTCTCAAACCAAGCAGCGTACAAGTCGTGACCGTCACGACGCAAAGCCGTGACGACGAGTACTCAGAGAGCTGCGTGCTGCTGGGGACTCCGAGCAAGATGAAGCGTAAAAGACGTTTTCAAATGTCGCTGCTGTTGACAGTCGCCAAGCCACTTTGCGCGCGTTGCGCTGCACATGAGGCCAGCAATTGAGGAGGATAGCGTCGGGCCGAACGGACCGGAACGCATTCGCGATCGCGTGCGTGTGGTCGAGCGAGGCAAATAGGGCGATGAGCTCGGTGACCAGCACGTGTTGGGCAAACTGCCGTACCACGGAGCGGACACCAGGGTAGACACCGAGCTTAGTGAACGCAAATCCAGTCGAGAAGACACGCGCCGTGTTGACACCGGGGCGGCGGCAGGCACCGAGGCGGCGGTAGACAACTCGTCCAGCGTTACAGCAGTCGCTACATCCGCGAAGCAGTGGTCGCGCTCGCATGGTCGCGGCTCGTTGACCGTGCTAATGGTGAACGCAATCGTCGGACATGTTGTGCGGCGCTGGTGCAGTGTCCTTCGCCAAGAAGGTCGCCGTACTTCTCGCCAGCGAGAGCGGGTACCGCGAGACAGGAGGTGCTCTCGGTGTGTCCAAGTCGTGGCGTATTTTACATCGTGCGAGCATTTTCCAAGGTCCTCGCCAGTCGATCTCTCGATTGGTCGCAGCTTCCAACAACCATTGCGGGATGGCGTTCCTTGGAGCGCGGTTTCGAGGCGAAACAAGGCATGGTTGGCGTTGGATACTGTTGCCGGCCACCGCGTCTGGCGTCGTGACCGCTAGAGGTGGTGGCCGTGGAGGCAGGCGGCGTCGTGAGGCAGCCTTTTGGTGGCAGCCTTCTTGGTCATCTTGCGCTGCACAGGCACATTAGTCGTGGTGTTTGACGCGCCTCGCGCTGCGCGCCCCGCAACCAAAACGGCGAGGTGGCAGATAATCTGGGATTCCAAAGCCATTCGCCCGGAGTTTTTCCCGAATTCCGGACGATGTACGGTTAGTTATTTGCCATCGTGGCGAATACCAGCCAATGGGGAGCTTGGAGCGCCATTAGCAGCGCGAGGTTCGAGCTAGTAATATATCCTCCAGCATCCGCAACATTTAAGCCATCAGCCCCACCTCATCAACCAAGCACAGCTTGTTTTCGTTATCACCATACATGTAGCTTTTCGCTTTGCGAATGCCTTGAGTTTGCAATGTGGGGACAGCTTGTGGGACCAACAAGAGTATCTTGGCGGCCACCAGCCATTTTTGGTACTAGTAACGTCGGTGGTGTTGTAGGCAGCAATGTCACAATTTCGTTTCTCGAACTCAGTCAAGAAGGGTGCTTCTTGGTAGGTTTCGCCGCCTACCATGGCCCATCACTGGGCCATCATTCTCCACTCGGCGTGTGGGTTTTGCACGCGTCGCCTCAAGGGAGTAGCCCTTGGCGATGACGTTTTCCCCCCACACACACAGACCAGCGAGACCCGACTCGCACACCCACAGCCTAACTGGTTTGTCTAGCCGGTTAGCTTAGTCGGTTAGATCAACCGACTAGCCGAAACCGCTCTCGGTTTCCGGCCCTCAGTGCTCACACGTGCCCAGCCTCCGAGCTGCCACGACAAGCAATGGCCCACTGTCTTGCCAGCTGCTACAGCACGTCGTTGAGGTTTAGTTAGTCGCAGGCCTTTCGTAAACCGTCGGCCTGCGCCCTCTCAGCCGAGCCCCAAAGTCTCTGCGAGCCACCAGTTCGGCTCCAACGCTCCGCTAATATACACCGAGCCTGGTCAGCTTACTTCTTCTTTTGGTTTCTCGACCTCAAGTGCTTCTTGTTTGTTTCTTCCCTCTCGACTAACTCCGAGCACGCTCGTTTTGGGGCCAACAAGAGCATTTTGGCGCCGGCCAGCCTCTGGAGTGGCGTGGTTGGGAACGCTTTTCATCGAGAGGCCACGGGCGCAAAAGATACGATTCTCGTCCGTGCCTTGGCCACGATCACTTGTCCTCGATTCTTCGATACACCCTTCTCACTGGCTCGTCGTTCTGCACAAAAACTGTTTCCACTTCTTGGAATCGTCCCGTCCCTAACGAAACGCTTCTCACGCGGCCACGGAGCTTGCTATCGCTGTTGCCAGATTGCGTAGCTGTGCGAGGGACGTGCGCGACGAACGCTATTTGCACGGCGAGGATCCACGACACAGAACGA